AGCAGCGAACTCTGCTCTCCAGAGCGAGTAGATTGGTAACCCCGCCTCCTGCTCTCCTCTATCTTGTCTGCTGTCATGATTCATGCAGCTATTATTTCATCCAAATGAAAAATGGAGAACAGATAAGCAGATCATGGCTTGTCTACAGTGAAAAGAAGGACTGGGTTATTTACTTTGGCCTTTTTGGAAACACAGGAAGGAGCAATCAGCTAAGTGAGCTTAGTGCTTGGAAAAAATCTTTCATTCCTTTAGAGACAGTATGAAAAGTCAGCTGAGTACAAAACATAGAGAGGAAAACAAGAAGAAAAGGGACAAGAAGAGAGGGACACAACCTAGAACAGAGAATGGATGTCTATTCTATTAACATTTCTACATCTGTAGAATGGGTCTGTTCTATGTGTTGTCTTCTCAATCCAGAGGGCCCCCTGCCTTTCTTTGCCTAGGGCCCCACATTTCCTAAATCCGCCCCTGTCCTGAGGTATGGACACATCAGCGTTTGGAGGCTGGGATCTTTCTCTAAAGTCTCCCAGAGGCTGATCGATAATTTCCTGTAAGCTGATTCCAGCTCATGTTCTCTGTAGCATCTTCCAATGAACTGTGTCAGAAAATATACCTGCAGCAAGCAGGCAAACAGATCAATGTACCACCATGATGGATGCTAGTTATTTCTACGGCCATGTTTACGAAAAACAAAAAAAGACCAAAGAACTGACACTGCATGATGATAGCATAGATCATTTTAACATTAGTCCCAGATATTTTCTTCCAATATTTCGTTCCCTTCCTACAGTTTAATGATAAAATGATACGACAATAACAAATGTTGAACAAATCTCTACAGTTGTAGCAGTTCAAAGTTTTCCCATTTTTCTTGATGAGTCCGCGGCTGGTCCACTACAATTCCTTTTTGAACAGCTAACAACAGATTTGTCGGCTGCACATCCATGATGCGAATCTCCCGTTCCACCACATCCCAAAGATGCTCTATTGGATTGAGATCTGGTGACTGTGGAGGCCATTTGAGTACAGTGAACTCATTGTCATGTTCAAGAAACCAGTCTGAGATGATTCCAGCTTTATGACATGGCGCATTATCCTGCTGAAAGTAGCCATCAGAAGTTGGGTACATTGTGGTCATAAAGGGATGGACATGGTCAGCAACAATACTCAGGTAGGCTGTGGCGTTGCAACGATGCTCAATTGGTACCAAGGGGCCCAAAGAGTGCCAAGAAAATATTCCCCACACCATGACACCACCACCACCAGCCTGAACCGTTGATACAAGGCAGGATGGATCCATGCTTTCATGTTGTAGACGCCAAATTCTGACCCTACCATCCGAATGTCGCAGCAGAAATCGAGACTCATCAGACCAGGCAACGTTTTTCCAATCTTCTATTGTCCAATTTCCATGAGCTTGTGCAAATTGTAGCCTCAGTTTCCTGTTCTTAGCTGAAAGGAGTGGCACCCGGTGTGGTCTTCTGCTGCTGTAGCCCATCTGCCTCAAAGTTCCACGTACTGTGCGTTCAGAGATGCTCTTCTGCCCACCTTGGTTGTAACGGGTGGTTATTTGAGTCACTGTTGCCCTTCTATCAGCTCCAACCAGTCTGGCCATTCTCCTCTGACCTCTGGCATCAACAAGGCATTTCCGCCCACAGAACTGCCGCTCACTGGATGTTTTTTCTTTTTAGGACCATTCTCTGTAAACCCTAGAGATGGTTGTGCGTGAAAATCCCAGTAGATCAGCAGTTTCTGAAATACTCAGACCAGCCCTTCTGGCACCAACAATCATGCCACGTTCAAAGTCACTCAAATCACCTTTCTTCCCCATACTGATGCTCGCTTTGAACTCCAGGAGATTGTCTTGACCATGTCTACATGCCTAAATGCACTGAGTTGCCGCCATGTGATTGGCTGCTTAGAAATTAAGTGTTAACGAGCAGTTGGACAGGTGTACCTAATAAAGTGGCCGGTGAGTGTACATATAAAAGATGTTTTAGTGCCGTTTGCTTCATTTTACAAACTTCTGATCACAGATAAAAAGATTAAATCTTCACATTAAACTCAGATGTTCTAACTTAGAATGATGTTTATGCTTCAAGCTTATTGGTCAATGAGGAAAGGACTGGCCAATCAGGAGAGAGGAGATGTAGTTGTGTTTCTGCCAGCAGGAGTTTGGCTTTTGATTCAGCTCTTTAGCTACTGTTATGATGGAGGGTCTTAATTTCAGGAAATCAAACAAATAAGTTCCTGATTTATATTCATTTTTATTCTTTGAATTTTTTTTTGTTTTTTCAAAATTTTGCATTATAATTGGATGGAAAGGCTCTTATGTGAGGATCAGCTCAGCTCTTCTGACCCTGAAGCCAGAAAGCAAAGGGAAAAATAAATCCAGGATCATCCAAACGCAGCTACAAAGTAAGAACTGATCAAGGATCAATCTATTTGTTTTACTTCTACAGGTAAGTTGCTTTTGTCATATGACCTCTGGCATGTTGTGGGTGAAGGACAGCAGCCTGTGAGGCCCACAGTGGGAGGAAATGCTGAAGCTGCAGAGAGAGGAAAGCTCCTGACTGCAGCGCTCTGCTGTCTCTGCTGATCTCTGGACATTCCTCCATTTACTGAGCTGAAGCTTCACATGATGATGATGATGATGATGCTGCAGTGTTTCCTATTAAAGACCACACCCACATACAACCCCCCCCCATCAACCTCACACTGAGAACTCCCTGAGAGCTGCTCACACAGGATGTTCCTGTCAAAATAAAAGTCCTAATGTGGGTCTCTCTTCAGGGCAGTAGGAAATATATATATTTTTTCATGATGGTCAAAGTTTATTTGGAATTTGTCAAATATCAAATAATTTTACAATGATAAATAAAAGTAAATATGATTGTTAAATACATTTAGAATTTAAATTATTATTATTAGATTTGCAATTATTCAGCACTGACTCATAAATATGGAAGATTATATTTAAAATTCAATCATTTGAACAGAATATTATCATTATAGAAGCAAGAAGACGCTTTACTTTTATAGATATTTTATCCTTATTCCAGATCAAGGGTCACCAACATTTATAAGTCTGATCTACTTTATAGATACTGAGTGATAGGAGGGGCTACCAATACTGATCTATGAACTTCAGGGTTCAGCATTTACCTAAAATTCATGCATAATCAACATATTTTAAATGTTTCTTTTAATTTTGTTTTTTTTCCATGTTTTTTATTTTGAAATCTCACTCTCTCTATATATAAATATATTTTTATTATTTATTTATTTTTGTTTCTGCAGCTTTTATTGTCCTTCCACTGTCACAAGCACAGAGATACAAAACGAACTCTCTGTACGTTCGTGGTGATTAAACGAATTTAGGGTTAATCAGTAAAAAGATAAAAACAATAATTTTCGTTGCGATCACTGAGTCTGGGAGCGGCCATTTTACCCCAAATATAGTAGCCCCTCCCTCCTGCCATCTTCCAGCAGTGACGTCACGGTGCGGTAAGCCTAGCGCCATTCTCCCCGCTTTACAAGCTAAATCAATGGGAACTACTAGACACATCTGCAATCAACAACAATTATTGAAGATTTCCAGAGGACTTCACCATTGAAATTCACCAGAGCTATAGTGAAACTGACAATGCCCACGTGCATGGCAGCTGGATGCTGGAATACATCGGGTAAAAGTGAAACAAAGAGTTATTCCACCTTTCTGATTCCTGATCCTCCACGGACGGGTTGGTCGTTGGATCGCCAACTTGAAGAGGGAGGATTTGCCATCGAACTTCTGGCCAGAGAAAAAACCCGTAATATGTAGCCAACATTTGGAAGAAGAATGTTTTCAAGATGACTTGGATAATAGCGCGTTGTGACAAACACCAGATACAGCACTGGGACTTGATCAACAGCCGATACCGCACCGTGACGTCACTAACCAGTAGGTGGCAGTAGTGTTCTTTGACAAACATGGATGCCTCCAGTAAAGCACATTCACATGAAAATTACTCTGAATTAAAACACTGATTATTTATTGAACAGGATGGAATCATTTCACATTTAAATAACTTTCAGAAGTTTGAATTCTGAATATGAGCGACTTTTCTTTTAATGGGAAAACTGACGTTCAGTTTAGGAGCGTTTTTCTGACTGTTAAAAAGAAATAAAAAGATCAGGAACAACTGAAACCAAATGGAAAATCAGTCCTAATTAACAGAGTTAGTGGTTTAAAACAACATCTACGGAAGAGGATTAGGGCCACTTAAAAATACAAAAAAAAGGTTAACAGATTTGAAATTTTTTTCATTGTATTATGAGAAAAAAAAAACTTTAATCTCAGAAATGTGCATATTAATGTAGATTGGCACCATGGAGGAAGAGACATGGGAGCAAGATGTGAGTTATTTAGGAGGAACAGTAACACATAGGTGGAAAAGGATGTAATTAGGCAACTTTTTACGTTGATTATAGTCAGAATTTTGACTTTTTATTCATATTATACTTTAAATAAAATTTAAAAATCTGTTTGTTTGTTTTTTTCCCAGTGGCCCTAATCCTGTTCCGTAAATACCAGCAGCTATGGAAGAGGATTAGGGCCAGTGGAAAAAAAAAAAGTTAACTGATTTTTACATTTTATTTCAGCTTAGTATGGGAAAAAAGTCAGAATTCTGAGAATTCTGGAATCTTGGAATTCTGACTTTAAATCTCAGAATTCTGACTGAATTCTGACAATAAAAAAGTCAGAATTTTGACTTTTTTTCCCATTGTTAAACTGAAATAAAATTTAAAATTCAGTTAACTCGTTTTTTTTTTCAGTGGCCCTAATCTTCTTCCGTAGGCAGCACTAGATTTCCTAAAAAAAAAGAAGAAAAAAAGAAAAAGGGGTGGGGTTGGGGGGTCCTTTCAGCAGGACACCAAGGAAACCATTGGCTTTTATTGTGAAGGTCCTCCCGGAAGTGTGCGCGTGTCACTGCTAGCTTGTTAGCGGGGTACAGGCTGTGGTTGTACTGACGGCGCTGCTGCTGCTGCTGCTGCTGCTGCTGCGGTCTAACTCGGCTAAAAACATTATTAGGCTCCTTGAAGCTGTTAGCATGTCCCACACCGTCATCACCAGCAGCACCACCGGCTGCTCCTCCGGGGAAAGCCTCCTCAACCTGGGATACAGCCGGACCATCCCGGGGCTGCTGAAGATGGGCCAGCTGGTGAGTCCCGACACGGAGCGGGCTTTAAGGCGGGGTTCACCGGGGAGGGTCCCGCACCGCACCGCACCGCACCGCACACTGACCCATTCACGCGCTTCTCCACATTTTAATGTGATCTCAAGATTTGTCAGTGAAGGAACTTTAAGCTTGTGGGGGTTTACAGATCTTATTTTCTAAAATTTGTATTTATTTATTTTGTATATTTGGATTGCAAACATTTATAAATATTTAATGAATGTGAAATATTTTTGGCAGTCATCTATATTCTATTCAGTTTATTTCTATAGCTCCAATTCACATCATGTCATCTCAGGTCTCTTTCCAGTTCACCAGATCATCCAGTCAGATTGATTCAAAGTTTTCTATCTAAGGAAAACCAGCTGATTGCATCGACTCATTGACTCTTCAGCAATCCCTCACACTAAGCATGCTTGTAGCGACAGTGGAGAGGAAAAACTCCCTTTGAACAGGAAGAAACCTCCAGCAGAACCAGGCTCATTTTGAGAACTTTTGGCTCTCAAAATGGTATCGGTGCCCTATTAGTTGGTGCTCGCCGATACCGATACCACCATTTTAGTGCTGGATCGGGGCCCCGCCTGGTACTGGTACCGGTATCGGTGCAACACCAATAGATATTCTATGGGGTTCTGGTCAGGGTTCATTCTGGCCAATCAGAGAAGCAGGTTTTGGTACCTTTGGCGGTTTGGGTCGGTATCAAGTCCTGCTGGAAAATAACAATCAGCTCATCCTTCCAGAGGGAAGCATGAAGGCTCTAGAATCTCCTGGTAGATTAGACACATTTCGAAGATATAAAAATGGGAAACTATTTAAAAAAATGAATATAATCTGATAAAATTCTGATTCCCAATTAACAAATACGTAGATCTATCAATAACAGACAGGGTATATCACTCTGACATGTTGTCAGGCTCTAGATCTATCATTATCAGACTGGGTATGTCACTCTGACATGTTGTCAGGCTCTAGATCTATCAATAACAGACAGGGTATATCACTCTGACATGTTGTCAGGCTCTAGATCTATCATTATCAGACAGGGTATGTCACTCTGACATGTTGTCAGGCTCTAGATCTATCATTATCAGACAGGGTATGTCACTCTGACATGTTGTCAGGCTCTAGATCTATCATTAACAGACAGGGTATATCACTCTGACATGTTGTCAGGCTCTAGATCTATCATTATCAGACAGGGTATGTCGCTCTGACATGTTGTCAGGCTCTAGATCTATCATTATCAGACAGGGTATGTCACTCTGACATGTTGTCAGGCTCTAGATCTATCAATAACAGACAGGGTATGTCGCTCGGACATGTTGTCAGGCTGTAGATCTATCATTATCAGACAGGGTATGTCACTCTGACATGTTGTCAGGCTCTAGATCTATCATTATCAGACAGGGTATGTCACTCTGACATGTTGTCAGGCTCTAGATCTATCATTATCAGACAGGGTATGTCACTCTGACATGTTGTCAGGCTCTAGATCTATCAATAACAGACAGGGTATGTCGCTCGGACATGTTGTCAGGCTGTAGATCTATCATTATCAGACAGGGTATGTCACTCTGACATGTTGTCAGGCTCTAGATCTATCATTATCAGACAGGGTATGTCACTCTGACATGTTGTCAGGCTCTAGATCTATCATTATCAGACAGGGTATGTCACTCTGACATGTTGTCAGGCTCTAGATCTATCAATAACAGACAGGGTATGTCGCTCGGACATGTTGTCAGGCTGTAGATCTATCATTATCAGACAGGGTATGTCACTCTGACATGTTGTCAGGCTCTAGATCTATCAATAACAGACAGGGTATGTCGCTCTGACATGTTGTCAGGCTGTAGATCTATCATTATCAGACAGGGTATATCACTCTGACATGTTGTCAGGCTCTAGATCTATCAATAACAGACAGGGTATGTCGCTCTGACATGTTGTCAGGCTCTAGATCTATCAATAACAGACAGGGTATGTCCCTCTGACATGTTGTCAGGCTCTAGATCTATCAATAACAGACAGGGTATGTCGCTCTGACATGTTGTCAGGCTGTAGATCTATCATTATCAGACAGGGTATATCACTCTGACATGTTGTCAGGCTCTAGATCTATCATTATCAGACAGGGTATGTCGCTCTGACATGTTGTCAGGCTCTAGATCTATCATTATCAGACAGGGTATATCACTCTGACATGTTGTCAGGCTCTAGATCTATCATTATCAGACAGGGTATATCACTCTGACATGTTGTCAGGCTCTAGATCTATCATTATCAGACAGGGTATGTCACTCTGACATGTTGTCAGGCTCTAGATCTATCATTATCAGACAGGGTATGTCACTCTGACATGTTGTCAGGCTCTAGATCTATCAATAACAGACAGGGTATGTCGCTCTGACATGTTGTCAGGCTCTAGATCTATCATTATCAGACAGGGTATGTCACTCTGACATGTTGTCAGGCTCTAGATCTATCAATAACAGACAGGGTATGTTGCTCTGACATGTTGTCAGGCTCTAGATCTATCATTATCAGACAGGGTATGTCACTCTGACATGTTGTCAGGCTCTAGATCTATCAATAACAGACAGGGTATGTCGCTCTGACATGTTGTCAGGCTCTAGATCTATCATTATCAGACAGGGTATGTCCCTCTGACATGTTGTCAGGCTCTAGATCTATCATTATCAGACAGGGTATGTCACTCTGACATGTTGTCAGGCTCTAGATCTATCATTATCAGACAGGGTATGTCACTCTGACATGTTGTCAGGCTCTAGATCTATCAATAACAGACAGGGTATGTCGCCCGGACATGTTGTCAGGCTGTAGATCTATCATTATCAGACAGGGTATATCACTCTGACATGTTGTCAGGCTCTAGATCTAACAATAACAGACAGGGTATGTCGCTCTGACATGTTGTCAGGCTCTAGATCTATCAATAACAGACAGGGTATGTCCCTCTGACATGTTGTCAGGCTCTAGATCTATCAATAACAGACAGGGTATGTCGCTCTGACATGTTGTCAGGCTGTAGATCTATCATTATCAGACAGGGTATATCACTCTGACATGTTGTCAGGCTCTAGATCTATCATTATCAGACAGGGTATGTCGCTCTGACATGTTGTCAGGCTGTAGATCTATCATTAACAGACAGGGTATGTCGCTCTGACATGTCAGGCTCTAGATCTATCATTATCAGACAGGGTATATCACTCTGACATGTTGTCAGGCTCTAGATCTATCAATAACAGACAGGGTATGTCGCTCTGACATGTTGTCAGGCTCTAGATCTATCATTATCAGACAGGGTATGTCCCTCTGACATGTTGTCAGGCTCTAGATCTATCATTATCAGACAGGGTATGTCACTCTGACATGTTGTCAGGCTCTAGATCTATCAATAACAGACAGGGTATGTTGCTCTGACATGTTGTCAGGCTCTAGATCTATCATTATCAGACAGGGTATGTCACTCTGACATGTTGTCAGGCTCTAGATCTATCAATAACAGACAGGGTATGTCGCTCTGACATGTTGTCAGGCTCTAGATCTATCATTATCAGACAGGGTATGTCCCTCTGACATGTTGTCAGGCTCTAGATCTATCATTATCAGACAGGGTATGTCACTCTGACATGTTGTCAGGCTCTAGATCTATCAATAACAGACAGGGTATGTTGCTCTGACATGTTGTCAGGCTCTAGATCTATCATTATCAGACAGGGTATGTCCCTCTGACATGTTGTCAGGCTCTAGATCTATCATTATCAGACAGGGTATGTCACTCTGACATGTTGTCAGGCTCTAGATCTATCAATAACAGACAGGGTATGTTGCTCTGACATGTTGTCAGGCTCTAGATCTATCATTATCAGACAGGGTATGTCACTCTGACATGTTGTCAGGCTCTAGATCTATCAATAACAGACAGGGTATGTCGCTCTGACAGGTTGTCAGGCTCTAGATCTATCATTATCAGACAGGGTATGTCACTCTGACATGTTGTCAGGCTCTAGATCTATCAATAACAGACAGGGTATGTTGCTCTGACATGTTGTCAGGCTCTAGATCTATCATTATCAGACAGGGTATGTCACTCTGACATGTTGTCAGGCTCTAGATCTATCAATAACAGACAGGGTATGTCGCTCGGACATGTTGTCAGGCTGTAGATCTATCATTATCAGACAGGGTATGTCACTCTGACATGTTGTCAGGCTCTAGATCTATCATTATCAGACAGGGTATGTCACTCTGACATGTTGTCAGGCTCTAGATCTATCATTATCAGACAGGGTATGTCACTCTGACATGTTGTCAGGCTCTAGATCTATCAATAACAGACAGGGTATGTCGCTCGGACATGTTGTCAGGCTGTAGATCTATCATTATCAGACAGGGTATGTCACTCTGACATGTTGTCAGGCTCTAGATCTATCATTATCAGACAGGGTATGTCACTCTGACATGTTGTCAGGCTCTAGATCTATCATTATCAGACAGGGTATGTCACTCTGACATGTTGTCAGGCTCTAGATCTATCAATAACAGACAGGGTATGTCGCTCGGACATGTTGTCAGGCTGTAGATCTATCATTATCAGACAGGGTATATCACTCTGACATGTTGTCAGGCTCTAGATCTATCAATAACAGACAGGGTATGTCGCTCTGACATGTTGTCAGGCTGTAGATCTATCATTATCAGACAGGGTATATCACTCTGACATGTTGTCAGGCTCTAGATCTATCAATAACAGACAGGGTATGTCGCTCTGACATGTTGTCAGGCTGTAGATCTATCATTATCAGACAGGGTATATCACTCTGACATGTTGTCAGGCTCTAGATCTATCAATAACAGACAGGGTATGTCGCTCTGACATGTTGTCAGGCTCTAGATCTATCAATAACAGACAGGGTATGTCCCTCTGACATGTTGTCAGGCTCTAGATCTATCAATAACAGACAGGGTATGTCGCTCTGACATGTTGTCAGGCTGTAGATCTATCATTATCAGACAGGGTATATCACTCTGACATGTTGTCAGGCTCTAGATCTATCATTATCAGACAGGGTATGTCGCTCTGACATGTTGTCAGGCTCTAGATCTATCAATAACAGACAGGGTATGTCGCTCTGACATGTTGTCAGGCTCTAGATCTATCATTATCAGACAGGGTATGTCCCTCTGACATGTTGTCAGGCTCTAGATCTATCATTATCAGACAGGGTATGTCACTCTGACATGTTGTCAGGCTCTAGATCTATCAATAACAGACAGGGTATGTTGCTCTGACATGTTGTCAGGCTCTAGATCTATCATTATCAGACAGGGTATGTCACTCTGACATGTTGTCAGGCTCTAGATCTATCAATAACAGACAGGGTATGTCGCTCTGACATGTTGTCAGGCTCTAGATCTATCATTATCAGACAGGGTATGTCCCTCTGACATGTTGTCAGGCTCTAGATCTATCATTATCAGACAGGGTATGTCACTCTGACATGTTGTCAGGCTCTAGATCTATCATTATCAGACAGGGTATGTCACTCTGACATGTTGTCAGGCTCTAGATCTATCAATAACAGACAGGGTATGTCGCTCGGACATGTTGTCAGGCTGTAGATCTATCATTATCAGACAGGGTATATCACTCTGACATGTTGTCAGGCTCTAGATCTATCAATAACAGACAGGGTATGTCGCTCTGACATGTTGTCAGGCTCTAGATCTATCAATAACAGACAGGGTATGTCGCTCTGACATGTTGTCAGGCTGTAGATCTATCATTATCAGACAGGGTATATCACTCTGACATGTTGTCAGGCTCTAGATCTATCATTATCAGACAGGGTATGTCGCTCTGACATGTTGTCAGGCTGTAGATCTATCATTAACAGACAGGGTATGTCGCTCTGACATGTCAGGCTCTAGATCTATCATTATCAGACAGGGTATGTCGCTCTGACATGTTGTCAGGCTCTAGATCTATCATTATCAGACAGGGTATGTCCCTCTGACATGTTGTCAGGCTCTAGATCTATCATTATCAGACAGGGTATGTTGCTCTGACATGTTGTCAGGCTCTAGATCTATCATTATCAGACAGGGTATGTCACTCTGACATGTTGTCAGGCTCTAGATCTATCAATAACAGACAGGGTATGTCGCTCTGACATGTTGTCAGGCTCTAGATCTATCATTATCAGACAGGGTATGTCCCTCTGACATGTTGTCAGGCTCTAGATCTATCATTATCAGACAGGGTATGTCACTCTGACATGTTGTCAGGCTCTAGATCTATCAATAACAGACAGGGTATGTTGCTCTGACATGTTGTCAGGCTCTAGATCTATCATTATCAGACAGGGTATGTCCCTCTGACATGTTGTCAGGCTCTAGATCTATCATTATCAGACAGGGTATGTCACTCTGACATGTTGTCAGGCTCTAGATCTATCAATAACAGACAGGGTATGTTGCTCTGACATGTTGTCAGGCTCTAGATCTATCATTATCAGACAGGGTATGTCACTCTGACATGTTGTCAGGCTCTAGATCTATCAATAACAGACAGGGTATGTCGCTCTGACATGTTGTCAGGCTCTAGATCTATCATTATCAGACAGGGTATGTCACTCTGACATGTTGTCAGGCTCTAGATCTATCAATAACAGACAGGGTATGTTGCTCTGACATGTTGTCAGGCTCTAGATCTATCATTATCAGACAGGGTATGTCGCTCTGACATGTTGTCAGGCTCTAGATCTATCAATAACGGACAGGGTATGTCGCTCTGACATGTTGTCAGGCTCTAGATCTATCATTATCAGACAGGGTATGTCGCTCTGACATGTTGTCAGGCTCTAGATCTATCAATAACAGACAGGGTATGTCGCTCTGACATGTTGTCAGGCTCTAGATCTATCAATAACGGACAGGGTATGTCGCTCTGACATGTTGTCAGGCTCTAGATCTATCAATAACAGACAGGGTATGTTGCTCTGACATGTTGTCAGGCTCTAGATCTATCAATAACAGACAGGGTATGTCGCTCTGACATGTTGTCAGGCTGTAGATCTATCAATAACAGACAGGGTATGTCGCTCTGACATGTTGTCAGGCTCTAGATCTATCAATAACAGACGGGGTATGTCGCTCTGACATGTTGTCAGGCTGTAGATCTATCATTAACAGACAGGGTATGTCACTCTGACATGTTGTCAGGCTCTAGATCTATCAATAACAGACAGGGTATGTCGCTCTGACATGTTGTCAGGCTGTAGATCTATCAATAACAGACAGGGTATGTCGCTCTGACATGTTGTCAGGCTGTAGATCTATCATTAACAGACAGGGTATGTCGCTCTGACATGTTGTCAGGCTCTAGATCTATCAATAACAGACGGGGTATGTCGCTCTGACATGTTGTCAGGCTGTAGATCTATCATTAACAGACAGGGTATGTCACTCTGACATGTTGTCAGGCTCTAGATCTATCAATAACAGACAGGGTATGTCGCTCTGACATGTTGTCAGGCTCTAGATCTATCAATAACAGACAGGGTATGTCGCTCTGACATGTTGTCAGGCTGTAGATCTATCATTAACAGACAGGGTATGTCGCTCTGACATGTTGTCAGGCTGTAGATCTATCATTAACAGACAGGGTATGTCACTCTGACTGGGTATGTCGGTCTGTTTACCTTAGTATGCTGACTCTAGCTGATCTAGCTCTGTATTTAGAGGAATGATCAATCAGTGCTGTTAGCAGAGCTGATTGAGCGTTTCTGTTGTTTCTGGATCCAGTCTATGCGGTTCAGCCCTCATCTGGTTTTATTATTTCTATGTTGTGGTTCTGATCCAAAGCGATCCGTGTTCCTCCTTCCAGCTCTCTCTGCTCATCGCCTTCGTGTGCGTCTGCCTGGCCGGCGGCTGGCCCTACTGGCACGCCCTCCAGTTCTTTGAGGTGGTGTTGCTGTGGTTCCTGGTGGCCTTCCTCATCTTCTTCCTCATGCACCTGTTCCGGCTGCAGACCAGGATGCCGTGCATCAACTGGCCGCTGACGGTGAGTTCTGCTCTGGTCCAGTTTAATGTCTGCTTTTCTTTAACCCGTTTGTTTTACTGCACCAGTAAAGGTTCAGAGGTGCGTTCTGTAGCCGTCTTCCTGTCGGATCGGGTTCTAAGAACCGGACCCTCCGGTTAATGCGCTGTGTTTCTGTGCTTCAGGAGTTCTTCCATTACTCTGTGGGGTCCGTCCTGCTCTTCATCGCCTCCACCGCCGCCGCTGTGGGATGCGGAGGAGTTTCTTCGCTGGTGGTGGCGTCGGTGCGTAACTCGCCGGGCGGTTCTGGGTTCCTCTGGCGTTCAGTCTCTGGTTCTGGACCTTCTGCTGCTGCGAATGCGGCTTCTGTGACTTCTGTGTTTTGTTTGCAGGTGTTTGGGTTCATAGCGACGTTCCTGATGGTCGTTAATCTCTGGACGTCTTACAGCATCGCCTGCGGCCCTCCTGGTAGGCCCCCACCTCCATCCACATCTGCTTTTACATTTAACCCCTCCCCCATCAATTCAATTCTATTCAGTTTATTTCTATAGCTCCAATTCACATCATGTCATCTCAGGTCACTTTCCAGTTCACCAGATCATCCAGTCAGATTGATTCAAAGTTTTCTATCTAAGGAAAACCAGCTGATTGCATCGACTCATTGACTCTTCACCAATCCTTCACACTAAGCATGCTTGTAGCGACAGTGGAGAGGAAAAACTCCCTTTGAACAGGAAGAAACCTCCAGCAGAACCAGGCTCAGTGTGAGCGGCCATCTGCTGAGGCCCACTGGGGGGAATGTGGGTGGTTTGGCTTCTTTGTTAAACTGCAATGCCCCATAGGTATGAGGCGTTGCACAGAAGAAGCCAAGTTTGCGCCACTCAAAGCTACACTATATTGCCAAAAGTATTTGCTCACCTGCCTTGACTCACATATGAGCTTAAGTGACATCCCGTTCCTAATCCATAGGGTTCAATATGACGTCGGTCCACCCTTTGCAGCTAGAACAGCTTCAACTCTTCTGGGAAGGCTGTCCACAAGGTTTAGGAGTGTGTTTATGGGAATTTTTGACCATTCTTCCAGAAGCGCATTTGTGAGGTCGCACACTGATGTTGGACGAGAAGGCCTGGCTCTCAGTCTCCGCTCTAATTCATCCCAAAGGTGTTCTATCGGGTTGAGGTCAGGACTCTGTGCAGGCCAGTCAAGTTCATCCACACCAGACTCTGTCATCCATGTCTTTATGGACCTTGCTTTGTGCACTGGTGCACAGTCATGTTGGAAGAGGAAGGGGCCAGCTCCAAACTGTTCCCACAAAGTTGGGAGCATGGAATTGTCCAAAATGTCTTGGTATGCTGAAGCATTCAGAGTTCCTTTCACTGGAACTAAGGGGCCAAGCCCAGCTCCTGAAAAACAACCCCACACCATAATCCCCCCTCCACCAAACTTTACACTTGGCACAATGCAGTCAGACAAGTACCGTTCTCCTGGCAACCGCCAAACCCAGACCCGTCCATCAGATTGCCAGATGGAGAAGCGCGATTCGTCACTCCAGAGAACGCGTCTCCACTGCTCTAGAGTCCAGTGGCGGCGTGCTTTACACCACCGCATCCGACGCTTTGCATTGCACTTGGTGATGTATGGCTTGGATGCAGCTGCTCGCCCATGGAAACCCATTCCATGAAGCTCTCTGCGCACTGTTCTTGAGCTACATGAAGTTTGGAGGTCTGTAGTGATTGACTCTGCAGAAAGTTGGCGACCTCTTCGCACTATGCGCGTCAGCATCCGCTGACCCCGCTCCGTCAGTTTACGTGGCCTACCACTTCGTGGCTGAGTTGCTGTCGTTCCCAAACACTTCCATTTTCTTATAATACAGCTGACAGTTGACTGTGGAATATTTAGGAGCGAGGAAATTTCACGACTGGATTTGTTGCAAAGGTGGCATCCTATCACAGTTCCACGCTGGAATTCACTGAGCTCCTGAGAGCGACCCATTCTTTCACAAATGTTTGTAAAAACAGTCTGCATGCCTAGGTGCTTGAATTTATACACCTGTGGCCATGGAAGTGATTGGAACACCTGATTCCAATAATTTGGATGGGTGAGCAAATACTTTTGGCAATATAGTGTATTTCAGCTATTTTGGATTGGAAATGAAACGCCTTCAAACTTGGAAACAAAGTCCCAAAATTTTCTCTTATTTTGGAATTCAGTAGCACTAACAGATGGACATCCTAGTAAATATTATTAACCCTCTCAGGCTCAAATTAAGTTGTAGTTGCAGGAAAAATCTGATATTTGCAGAAAATGATCATATGGGGTAGTAATATACAAGAGAGAGACCTTCACATGCAATGAATTCTGGGATGTTGCAGATTTGCAACAATGGCCTGGAGTGGTAAATTATCACTCGAGACTGAATCTGATATGAATGTTAACTTTATTTGAATGTTACAAACAAAAAATTAACAAAACAAAACAACTTTTTCTCAAATTTTTTCTCCACTGACATCTCAAAACCTCTTGAGAAGGCCGTTTCTGTTAAACTGTTGCTCAAAATATAGGCAAACTAGTAGATAAAGCATGTACCATCTATTGGTACCTGTTTGGGCACACGTTGCAAATCCACAACGTTGAAATCGAGATGCCTCTGGTGAAAAACCCAGAGGAGATAAAATCTACTAATTGGCATGTGTCATATCTAAACACATTCATGATTCATCTGATGTAGTATTGATTTCAAAATAATAGAAATTGGTAGTGATACTTAGAAAACTGCTATGATATGAAATTGGTGCTTAGAAAATGGACTCAGCCATGTTGAAAATGAATCAACAGCGCCATCTGGTGAGCTGGAGAGAAACTGTTTTTTTGCAAATGCACAACTAAGTCCCTCTGTTGTACTTCTGAGTAACAAAAGCTCTTAAAATATGGATGTGGAGTAATTAGCTAAGTAGCAAATCTAAGTTGCAAATCTGCAACATCTGCCTGGAGAGGGTTAAGTATTATGGAAATAATATTTTTCGTTATTACCTCCAACTTTATGCCTTAGAAACGTGCCCAATTATAGCAGCTATGAGTTAATGCCTCTTAATCTCTTAGTATCACATGAATTGATGATGTCTCCCCCTGTTGGTCTGGAGGTCTTCTGCTTTGCAGCGCTTATTTAAATAATTTGTCCTTTTGAATTTGTTTTTAAGTCTAAGGCTATGTTCACACTGCAGCCTGAAGTGACCCAATTCCGATTTTTTTGCCCATATGTGACCTGTATCTGATTTTTTTTATGACAGTCTGAACGACACAGATCGGATTTTTTCAAATGCGACCCAGGCCACTTGGATATGTGGTCCTTAATCCGATACGTATCTGATCTTTTCAAATGCGACCTGTGTCTGTACGGCCAGGTCGCATTCATCCGACCTACACGTCATTGATACTTGACAAATGTTACTAAACATTACTAATCTGCGTCCTACTAAGCGGAGGCGGGAAAAACTAACAACCATTGCGGAAGATAACACAGAGAGCAGTCAATGGAGAGAAAGTGAGGTTGCTGACCTAATTCATATTTGGAAAGATAGCTCGATTCAGACCAAACTCGAAGGGTCTTACCGGAACCTGGCTCTCTTTCTTTTTGATCTTCTTAAAAAGATTCCGTTCGTAATGTGCCTGCTCCTGTTGGAGAAGGACTTAAAGAACGCAATATACGCTGCGGTATTACGAGTCATGTTTACTTCCGCAAACACTGAGGACGCTTGCTACATGTGACGTCATCGCGTCCTCGAGTGCGCATGCGGGACACTTCGGTTGAACGCTTTCAGTTCACACAGTAGATCACATACAAGTCGCATATACTTGGAAGTGTGAACGGACACGCAAAAAAAATCCGATTTCATGAAAAAATCGGAATTGAGCATTAAGGCCTGCAGTGTGAACGTAGCCTAATTTCTGAGTTTGATGTGAAATCGCGTATTAAGACGGAGCTGCTGACCTCGGCTGGAGACCAGAGTAACGTAGAGTCTGATCTAGGCAGAAACGCTCTGTGCTGCTGCTGGAACCTTTGGGTCCATCAGGCAATAAACAGGAAGTTAGAACTCAGCTGAGATGACCTCGTCTTATTTTCCCATCATGCTTTTCTGCCTCTCCAGGTGCTTCCATGTAAAAGAACGACGCGTCATGAAGAAAGCAGCTGCATTCTGGTCAGTTTTCTGCCCGGCAACCACCTGGATAAAGAACCTGATTGGATTAAAAAAGCTGCAGCGCTAAAAGGAAACTCTGCTCCGGGTCCAAACGGGTCAGACTGTCACAGTAAAATCCTCTGAGCTGTAGGTGCTCTGTGTCACAAAACGCATGACTTTTTTTTTTTTTCTTCCATCCTCTGACATCTAAAATCTGCAGAACCTCCTGGCCGCGCCATAAACCCAGAACCTCAGCCGCAGATTGTCTCATTTCCTCTGGTTGGTTGCTTGTTTTTCTGGATTCTGATCCGAACCGTCCTGCGGGTGGGGCTTTAAGCTCAGAGAAGCAGGTTTGGACGCTGGCTCTCAGAACGATTGGCATCAACTGTTTAACCCGTCCACCATATTTGGAGGGGAAACATCAGGCAGGAGCAGGTTCAGGGGAACAGGAACCGGCGGTGGGTTCAGGATCTTTCCATCTGGACCAGCAGACAGGACCGCAGAGCGATCCAGGAGAAACTGGATCAGGAACATTACTGAACCGTCTCCTTTGTTCTCTGTAGCATGTTGGACAGAACCTTCAGGTCCAGCTTCTCCAGAACCATCCAGAGCTGAGTGGGCGTGTCCCTCTGTGTTCCGATTGGACCGAAACCTGTGTTTCCTCCAGCAGGGGGAGCCACCCTGGCTGGAAGGAGACAGCCTGACCTACGACTGGATGGAAAAACAGTTTAGATCCACCTGGTTCTGAGAACGACACCAGAACAGAAAGACGTGCTGAGGTCTGGAGGTCCAAACGGTTTCAGCAGGAACCGGATTTATGGTCCATAAAATCACAGCAGACGGTTCCTGATGAAGCTCCTCCTCCTGTTTGATTTCAGAACGGTTTACCCTCCCAATATGGCCGCCGCCATGCAGCTGCTGTTGGTCTGAACATTGCCAGACCTGCTCATCTCTTCTGGAAAATCTCAACATATTATTCCCTTTATTTGCTATTATTTTACATTTCATCTGCGATCTAAAGTAGCTGAAAGTAGAAAACAATCATTGTACGTCTGGAAGGAAAGACAGACTGAGCTCTGCTATTTAACAAGTTTATTTTTATTCTTTTTATTCAGATCTGAGGACAGAGGAGGACAAAAAGACTTTCATAGAGATTTTAGCCAAATTAAACAGTTATTCTATGTGTAGAAAACGAACGGTTGCTGTTGAGATGAATTTAAAAGTAGTGTAGCTTAATATGGCTAACTGAGCAAGCTAAAAGAGGCTAACCTGTTAGCTACAGCTAGCCACAGCGCTAACAGTTACTTTGTTCACCAGAAGCAGATTTTTTTCAGTTTTTCATATCAATCAGGTAAAACTTCATCATTAGACACGCTAACGCTACAGAAGCTCCCGACTCGGCACAATGACGCTGTGTGATGTTATTATCGTTGTCTAGGCAACCACAATGTTTCACATCATGTGGCAACGTTCAGCCAATCATGTAGCGTCGCTGGCAGGAAGCAGATCTGGGAGCTACACCGTTAAACTCGTTCCTGCAAACTGGGCAGAAAGTTAGCAGAAAATTATTAATATGTTTTATTATTAAAACGTTTAATTATCAGGTTGATCTTCTTTCAGACTAATAGGATTTATTCTTTTAAGCTAATAGAAATTATTTAAAATTCACTGTAATGTGATAAAGAACCAAAGACGGCAGAATTAAAATGAAAAAACATGTTAATGGGGGAAAGAAATTAAATCAATGATCCATTTAAGAGGTTTTCTGTTTTTTAAATTAATCAGTCGCTGAGCTGAGTTTTAATATATGATTAAAAAAAAATGTAAAAATTTAAACTAAACTTAAAAAGTGGTTGTTTTCTAATTTTAGAGGAGGATATATTTTTTTTCTATTTAATTTGGAGTTTACTTCTAGTGTAACTAGTTAAAATAAATTTGGGTTTAAACTGGGCGAACTGGGCGCTAAAACTTTCCTGGGAACCAAAGTTGGGGCCCAAGCAGCTAGAAAGGTCTGGGAACCACTGATGTTTAGGAGCAGGAACCAGAAAATGTGGAAATCTGTCTGCACAGATTAATAATTTATAAGCACAAAGATAATTCAGAGGATTTAATGAGAGATTATCTGAAATGTTCAGGTTTCCAAATATGTAAATTAATTTCTGCATGAATAAAAGAAATACAGGCATGAGTTAAAGAAGCACATCGACGAGGCGCCTCTACCTCAACAGATCTAGACCGGCTGCTTTGGAAAATATAAAATAATCGCATGAATTTGGCTGAAAGGACGAACTGCTGATGTTCAATGAAAAGAAAAACAGTGAGTCAGAAAAACAGAAAAGAAGCTTTAAAGCTGAAGCACAAACCGAGCCTCCAAAATACCTCTGATCTTCGTATCGCGTCGTGCTATAATCCTGCATGTTAGAATAATCTGCCTTTCTACTCGTTTTATTAATCTGTGTACGATGATTTCCACACTGGAACGAATCTAAATCTAGATGAGTCATTTTTTCTTAAAATAAGTGCATTTCTTCTTAAATTGAGGAGATTAAAGAGACATTTTGCCAATGGAACAAGACAATTTAGATTTAAAATATGAAAACATAATTGGATCTTCTTATTTCAAGTGCATTTCATCTAATTATCTTATTTTAAGGGTAAAAATACTCATTCCATTGGCATATTATCAAATTTACCTATTCAAATCAAGGGTAAATGCACTTAATTTAAGAAATGTTTACTTATTTCTAGATCATTTTTCCAGTGCACACATAAAACAAAAAATACTGATCAGCAGCAGTACATGACTTATCTGATTTAAAGTTTTTTTTAAATTGGTTTTATAAATATTCCAAAGCACTAATAGAAACATCCTTGCAGAATAGTAAATTAATTATCACATATTTTAATCCTAATCTATCAAACATCCTGAACAGGATTAGATCTGGTGAAAACAGAAGTAAATATATGGCGTCAGATCCTCCTACTTCATACAGACGCTCATAAACTTTTCCTCACGCGCATGTTTAGCGTGTTACACGTGCAAATAGAGAACCTCAGGGCCCCAATTTATCCGACACAAGAAGGCTTGTTCCTTCTCTGTGCGTATGCAGCCTCCCTCCTCCTCTGGTGTGGACCCGTTCCTTTGTGCTCACGTCAACTTTTGACACTTTGAAGGCGTTACCCCCGCGAAAAAACAACCCTTCTCTGATTGGTTACATTTCAGGAAATCCCGCCTCTTGAGGCTGTGGTCTTCCTCCTACTAGCAAAGCTCCTTTAGGCTAACTGTGTTGTCACTACCCGTTCTGTCCCGTTAAAAAGACCTAAACGACATTAATCCCGCCCCAAAAATATTAAGTGTACTAAAATATGATGTGTTAAAGGTCAGTTGTGTATTTCCTGAGAACATAAATGCCTTAAAATCCTGTTTTATCCCTCATCTGTTCCCGATCTGCACCGGAAATGGGATGCTACGCTACTTCCAGGAGCTAACTTTTACACTGGAAAAAAATCGAAATGTGGATAGTCATTTTTTTCTTAAAATAAGTGCATTTGTTGTTATATTGAGGAGGTAAAAGATACATTTTGCCAATGGAACAAGACAATTTACATTTAAAATAGGAAAACACATTTGCATTGTCTTATTTAAAGTGCATATTATCTAAATATCTTATTTTAAGAGTAAAAATACTAACTCCATTGGCAAAATCTCTCATTTACCTGCTCAAATTATGGGTAAATACACTTAATTTAAGACATTTTTTACCTATTTTTAGATCGTTTTTCTAGTGTATCAGCTTTGAAATTAAACATTTTTGAGTTTTATGTTTTCCTTTCATGTTAAGATTATGCTATATAGCGCGTAATCTAAAGAAAGAAACAACTAAAATGCAGATAAACATGGTTTAATCAAATTTACTGCTCTGAGCGTGTGCCATGATGACAGCAGAGAAGCTTTTGATTGATGAAAATGGGAAAAACATCAAAATTGTCTCAGAAAATTCATAAAACATTTTTTTGAAGACGTGTATTAGCATTCTGTAGAGAGTTAAGGATAGAAATAAGTAATTTTACTACCATAATTATATTATTTATGGACACCCAGATGTATATCTGTTAGCGCAGGACGGATCGTGCTTCCGTGACGGATCGTGCTTCCGGGACAGATCGTGTAGCGACATGCTTTTCTTAAAGAGTTGGAAGTTTGTAGGCAAAGTTCTCATTAGCTATAACATGTTCTGGATAAATACTGGATCCTGATTGGCTGCAGGGCGTCTCTTAAAAAGGGTTATAGGACATCTACAAAAAAAGTTCTGGTCAAATAGCCTGATAGTTTCTGCTTGCTCAAATTATAGCTGGAAACGGGAAAACAGTTTACGCAGGTTACCTCCGCAACCTGAAAAGTATCTTATTACAAGTGGGTTGCTTTTTCCGGTTGCTAACGCCTTCAAAGTGACAAAAGTTGACAGGAGCGCACCGATAAGGTCCAGACGCGAGCAGGAGGGAGGAAAGCACGTATTGGGGCAGCGTGGTGTTGTGTTTACAAACGTAACACGATAAACAGGCGCATGAGGAGACGTTTATGAGCGTCTGTATGATGCAAAGCTGCTCGTTGGAGGATTTATTGCCTGTGTGGATTTTTGGCAGAATTCTGACGCCATATAAACACTAAAATAAGACGTTTCTATTTATAAAATGTTAGATTTGAAAATAAAGTCATAGTTTTACAAAACTGAAGGCATATAGTTATGAAAAAAGTCATATTATTGAATCAGTGGGAATAAAAACTGAACATTATAATAATAATTATTGAATACTACTAAAATAAAGACATAAAATTACAATTACGAGATAAAGTCATAATATTATGAGAGTAAGGTTATATTGACAAAATTAATTGGTTATAATATGATATTAAAGTAATAAAGTACAAGATTAAAATTGGATAATAACCAGGTTAAAGTCAAACTACAGTAAAGAATTAAAAAATTTTAAAACTATGGGGTTAGTGCAGTAAAGTCACAAGTTTAAACTCATAAAATTACAAGTCTAAAGCTGTAAAATTACAAGATTAAAATCATTACATTTACAGAATCAAGTTGGAATTTAAATTTGAATGAAATGGTAACATTATAAGATTTGAGTCCTCAGAATGAGAAATGGAAAAAACTTCCTTACAAGAAAATATTAGCAAATTTACGGCGTTAAAGTCGTAACATTACATGAAAAAAGTTGTAACTTTACTTGTAAAGTTGTAATATCAGATTAACAGCATATTACCAGATTAACTAAGTAGCCTATATTAGCTAAACTCTTGTAGCAGTAAAAATGTTTTGCTGCAGTTTGTTTGATCTTTGTTGACTGCTCTGCTAAACTTTTATTTTTCTTATATTATTTTTTTACTCTAATATTAATCTAAATGTATTTCCATATTATACATTTATTTTTCTTAGTTTATTATCATAAAAAATATCCTAGTATGATTCTTATACTCCATCGACCTTTGATTCTGTTTTAGCCAAAGCTAATTTAGCACAGAGGCTAACGTTAGCATAGTCAGAAGCTTTTTAAAGCTCTCTGAATATAAAAAATAGCTAAGTTTAAATTAGTTTTTAAACATTTTTTAAATTAATGGTATTTAACTATGTTTTAAAACTTGTGCCAAAAACTATTCCCCTTTGATGAAGATTTTTTTTAGTTTTACCCTGAGCTAGGCTAGCTTTGGCCATATTAGGCTAATATTAGCATAGCAGTAACCTGCTGAGGGTTAAATCAAACTTAAATTAGTGAAATCGTATCATTTTTTTCAGCTCTGTTGAGGAACTTTTTCAGCTTAATTTTACTCTGAAACTGAAGGATACATTTTCGTGTATTTTTCATATAATTTTGTGAAAAAAAGCAGCAAAAGTAGCATTTTGAGGCTTTTAAATTGTGATCATACTGCCCTAATGTTTTAGTTTTAAGTCAGAATAAAACTAAAGTAAAATAGCTTTGATCAACACTGATAAGTCGTTCAATTAAGAGCTAATAACATTTCCATGTTTTCTCGTTAAAGACCGAAAACCTCCCAGGTTACGAGGCGGCGCCTCTACAGACCGATGGGCCCTGTTCTGTCCCTTCATACTGGAGCTAGAACTTCAATGGTTGACGCGCATCAAGGTGC